AGCAGGCACACATGCAAAAAGTAGTAATGAACTATAGATTGCTTACTGTTTACTATTTCTGCAAGCCTCTTCTTAGACATGCACTAACTTTTATGGGGCTTTGTTTTGGTGCTAGAGAGTAAAAGTCGATGCATGTCAAACACTGAGCTACATCCCAGCCGAATTAACTATTGAAATGACCCAATTATAAATTACAGGCTAGAGGCAGAGGCAGGCGGATCTCTGTGAGTTTGAGATGCGCGTGGTCTACATACTGAGTTCCAGGCCAGAGGGGGCTACAAGGAGACCCTGTCTCAAAAAGACCAAAATGCACATAAAATAAAAAATATTTTTAAAAAATAATTCAGCCAGGTGTGGTGGCACATGCCTGTAGTCCCAGTACTTGGGAGGCAGAGGCAGGCAGATCTCTCTTAGTTCAAGGCCAGCCTGGTCTACATAGTGAGTTCCAGGACAGCTGGGGCCACAGGGAGACCCTGTCTCAAAAAAACCAAAAAAAAAAAAAAAAGAATTCAAGTTTCTTTACCATGTGGGGAACAAAATATACCAGAAAACATCTTGCCTTACAAAAGCAAGTCAAATAAAACTTTAAAAGAAGACCAAGATTTGCCAGTGTCCTGAGCCAAGACTCTGAGGTCACACAGCAGTCATCACCTGCATGTGATACCACATCAGATGCTGCAGGCAGAGCTGAATGAATGTATGTGCTTCTGCTGACTTCTCAGAGAACAGCCGCCTTTCCCAAGAATGTTCCACAGAAAGGTCTCTGCTGAGGCTGCTCCTCTGGCCTCTTGTGGGGAGACAAGGGCCACTCCCATGAAAATCACGGAAGGCCACCTTCGCCTCTAAATGCACAAGCATTCCAGAAAGCCTCCAGTTAGTCACACCCTTGGAGCCCACATGTACGAGGCACTTTGGACAGAGCCCTGCTCTTAAAACTCAGTGATGAACAGTTCCAAAGTGCTGTCAGGCTCTGCCAGACAGATGCATGGAAGAGGCAGCAATTGTGAGAGGGATGAGATGCAAACAGAAAAGGTCATAGAAGCCAGAACAGAGGGAAACCAAGCCTGGCATGGCTGGGGCCAGCATGGGTTTTGAGGGAGGGAGGGAGGGAGGGAGGGAGGAAAACCATGTGCAAGGGAACAGCAGGCTGCTGGGGACTGGCCCAGGATGGGGAAGGGAGGGATGCAGTAGTTGCAGAAGAATGGAAAAGGGTTGGAAAACAGCAGTAGACACAAGCCACGCGATCAGGGTCCTAGGACCCCAGAGCCCATGAAACACCGATACACAGGACGACTATTTCCAGCACGTATCCTACCACTGACTCACATCCTTAGCCTCATAAAAACTTATTTTATGTGTATGTTTTAAGTGTACCACATGCATGCAGCACCCACAGAGGCCACAGGAGGGCACTGAATTCCCTAAAACTATTAGGAAGTTAGAAGTTAGGAAGTAAATCCAGGTTCTCTATAAGAGCAACCAATGCTAAGCACTGAGTCATCTCTCCGGTTCTGTGTTAAGAATTGTTAATGACTACTTCCTGTGGTCTTTGGCTGCAGAGACATACAGAAAGGCTATTAAAATGCTGGCTCAATGGCACACCTCTATAATACCAGCATCTAGGAAGCTAACACAGGATCACCACAAGTATGAGGCTAGCCTGGACTACAAAGTGAGTTCCAAGATAGAGACCATATCTTAAAATACAAAAATATATCTATGATAAAGCACTATAGCCAACTATCAAATGGGTGATGCTCAGGCTCTGTGGGGAGCTATACATAAAATTCTTCCTAAGGCCCCTGAGGCAGTGGACATGGGGGGGTGATTCCCAGAAGCCCCCAAACAGTATGGTTTTCATGAGGTACCTGTCCACCCATTCTGTAGAAACCATATTGCTCACATCCATCAAACTCCCTTGGAGAGGTCAGCTGCAGGTAGGTCTCCTCTCGGGCTGTTAGGGCCAGGACTTAACGGCATCATGCAAACAACTGTTCACTTGAGTCAGGCCAAGTGTTGTTAGTTACTACAGCACATGGCTGCTTAGCAACTCCCTGTGGAGCACAGCTGCAGCGACTTCTGAATGCCTCTTGTAGCACATGCTGTGCTGACACCCGCCTGACGGGGAACACGCACAGCACAACCTTCCATACCCAGGAAGGGGCCAGACTCCAGTACCCTCTGACACATGCTCCTCAATGAAGGAAAATCATCAACAGCTACCCCAGAGGTGAACAGTGCCTAGGCAGTGCAAAGTCACTCTCACCATCTGGAAAGACAGGCAGCTCAAACAAGTAGTACCAAGGGAGGGGGACAGCTCAGTAAAGAGCCTCAGTGTGAAGTCCTGAGCCTCTGAGACCGCCACCGAACCTGGCCGGTGGCAACCCTCTGGATAATGTAGAAGCCAAAAGTTACATATCTAATACTACTGGGACACAGCATCCTCCCACAGCAAAGCTGACCCGGCTCCTAGGGTGAGTGTCAGGGTGGAACTCAGGAGTTCTCTCACCCTCCCCCAAGCCAGGGTACTCCCACTTTTCCTGTGAGCACTTAGGACCAAAAGCCCCATCTCAATTCCCAAGAGGATGCTAGGAGAGAGGACTTGGGTTTGATAAGAGAAACGCTCTTTGCTGCTACTGCAGAATTGTCTGTGATAGACGACTCACACTCAGTAAGAGCCAGTAACTCCAGAGGAAACCCCAGTGTGTGTATGAAGCACACCGCTGGCTCCAGACTGCCCAACCTTCCTTCCAGGCTTCAGCATGACCAGGGCATGGATCAGGATGGACATCATTAAGAGTAACTAGAATCAGCTGAGTTGCTGGCTGTAGCCACAGCACTTCTGTCAGCACCAGGAAAAGGGGTGGGGACAAGGGTAAGTCTTGAAAAAGAACAAAAACCAAAACAGTCTATTTTACACACTTGTGAAATCTAACCCTAAACACACAGCTCGACTCATTTAAGAATGTAGTATGCCATTTTCCCAGAGTTCTTCAGTCTTCCCCACCAGCCTCATAAAAACTAGCTACAACTAGCTGGGTCTGTTAATCCCATTACTGGGGAGGCTGAGGATGGAGGATGACAAGATGGAGGGCAGCCTAGTCAATTTACGTACAGTCCTTTCTGTTTTTAAAAAATGGCTGGAGATGGCTCTTGGGTTAAGAACACTGACTGCTCTTGCAGAGGACCTGGGTTCAGCTCCCAGCACCCACATGGTGGCTAACAACCATCCTAACTCCACTACGAACAGACCCGACGCCCTCTTCTAACTTCCTCAGGCACTGTACAACACAGGTGCACTCACCGACATGCAGGCAAAACACTCTTATACATAAAATTTTTTTTAAAAAAGAACTCTATTAAGCAGAAACAAAACCAGATGACCCAGTAACTTTGAGTCAAGTACCAAAGAAAATATTAACGTATCCTTTACCAGTGACGTGATTGGGGGGGAATGGGACTAGGGATGGGGACAGGCATGGGATGGGACACCAGACGTTTAAGTGCTTTTAAACTGAATTTCACACCCCAGAAATGAGGGAACGGCTCCTGTCAAGGACTGTGATCACCTGCTGGCGATGAACGCTAGACACACTTGCACCAGTGAGTGGCAAAGTGAGTCTTTCTTCTGGATGAAACACTGCCCTTTGATTCATTCATGCACCCTACCACCCCAAAAGTGGCTAAAAGGAGAGGTGGATCTGAGATCGAGGCCAGCCTAGTCTACAAAGCGAGTTCCAGGCTTATCTCAAAAAAAGACTTCGATAACCCAAAATGGCTAAATTTATCAGGAATTAACATTTTAGTGAAGAAAAAGGTCAAAACAGCTCACCAGACTTCAGAAAAGTGATACTTCTGCCAGGCAAGAAACCTGTATCCGAGCAGGACTGAAGGGACGTGTAGTCTTAGTGTAAAGGCATGCTTCTGCATGGTCCAGGATTCAAGCCTTGCATTAA